TTTGTTTTGGTTGGTTATAAGAAAGAAAAAGTAATTTTGTTTTTGTTTGTTGGTGGGGGGGGGGGGGGGGGGGGGGAGAATTGGCACACCACTAAAATGATTATTTTATATCTTCAACAAATGTAATGTTCAGCAATTAGACTAACATGCATTCACTTTTTGAACAAACAAAATTATTCCTGACATTTTGATATTATAAGGATCCTTTAAAATAAATGTATCTACTCTTTAGAACGCAACATCCCTTTCTCTTTAAAAAAAAATCTGTATCACCATTAGAAATCCAGTTTCTTTGACTGAATTAACAAAGTGGACAAAAGACAAAGTCAGACCTCCAGGCAGCTCTCAAGTGTACTATGTAGGCCTCCACTAATGGAAAAGTAACAGCAGCTCGTTGTGCTGTGGGCTAAAGCTGCTCCGGTTCTCTGTGACGTGCCGCCGTGACTTCAGGCCGGCCATCACTGGCTCGAGTTGACCCGAAGAGACACAGTGGGTCTGGGAAACGCTGGTGTGTTTGGGTACCTTGCGTAGCAGCTCCAGCTCCTGGGCGGTCTGCTGGGACTGCTGCTGCTGCCTGTGGAGCTGCGCTGTCAGCTCCTCCACCTCCTTCGTGGCGGATGACAGGTCCTGGAGGGGCAAGCAATTACTTTGAGCCTGTCAGTGAACTATAACACTGCTCTATCAGATTTAATGATATTAAGTAATTGATTTACAAGATTACTTTGCAGACATTTCCAATACTTCCAAAAAAGATTTTCTGGTCAAATTAAAGGGGCAGTATTATGTAAAATCAACTTTTTGAGCTTTACATCATGTTATAATGTTATTTCCTCTTCAAAAGCAAAACTGGGAGTGTTACTTTGATTCTTTCATGCATGTTTGACAAATCCTTTAATCTCCATGGCAACAATTCAGCTGTGCAAAACGCTCGGATGAAACTAGCTCCGCCTTCAAGGCGTAGTTCCTCCTACGAGCTGCAATTTCCAAGCTTCCGCCACACAGAGCAGCCATTCCCTACGACTCCACTGCTCTGCTCCTTCAGACTAGCCAGATGTAATTAGCAAGCACCTGGTGGAGCTGCTGAGCTCATTAAACGACCTACTTCTCAGTGCTGCACTGGTAAAACGTTACTAAAGGGTTAATAGAGGAGAGATGTTGTGATGACTTCCTGAAGGCGGAGTTTCAGAAAGAGCAGGAGCTTTTAAAGAGACAGAGGCCCAATCCACACTATGAAGTCAAATTTATTTTAAGTCATATTTGACTTAACATCACTAAAAACAACATAGTGACTTGACTGCACTGTAAAATGACACTATGTGAATGGATGATTCATAATCAAGCCCCTTTAATCTTCTGTGTGTGTTCATGTCCACCTTAAGCTTCTGGTCCTTCATGGCTCTCTCGGCCAGCAGGTCTCTGTCCAGGCTGGCCAGCTGTTTCTGCAGCTCCTGGTTTCTGGCCTCCAGCTGCTTCACCGCGCTCCTCATGGTCTCCAAACCGGCCTGCAGATCCTCCTTCTCACTGCTCAGCGTCTCCTTCTGCACAAAGGGCCACACTCTTTACTGAAAGAAGCTCAATAGTCGGCCATCAGAGTTGGTAAACAATGTTTTATCATTTACAGCTTTTTAAGTTTTGTTGTTTTTACATAATAAATATACTAATGTGTAGTATTGATTTAGAAAATACAGATCCTGCAAGAAACAGAACCTTAACAAGGTGGATAGATGGAGGACAGATGGATAAAAGAAAGATGGGGAGACGGATAGAAGACGACTAATGGATGGACGGACTGACGGATGGATGGAAGAAATGTTGGGTGAATGGATGGATGGATGGATGGATGGATGGATGGATGGACGGATGGATGGATGGACAGACATACGGACGGATGGATGGATGGATAAAAGGATTGATGCATGGATGAATGTAGATTATGTGACAATATGTATTTCCATCTCTTTTTTATACTTTTTTAGTTTTATTTACATAAAACCACCATAACTGGAAGTCATTTTATTTCACAAATTCAGATTTAAATCATGAACATATTCCTGATTGGACAGCCTGGAAATACAATAAAGTCTTAAATTTGACCTTTTCCAGGTCTGGATAAGAACAGAAAAGGAAGAAACGGTGACAGTTTTGATTTTCGTTTCCTTAAGCAATATCTAAGATGACTTAATTTAGTTTTTTTTTTTTGAGCGGCCAGAATAAACTTTCTCTTATAACAGAAACAGACTAAAAAGAGGAGATGAACTTCATTCACTGTTGAGATGTGCTTGTAGTCAAAAGAATCAACCCTGCTCAAACACACGTGGCGTTTCTGAAGAAGCACCCGGGCGAATCTGACATGAGCGGCTCTGTGGAGTTTCCTCCAGACACAACGCGGCGGCTGCAGCCGTCTCCAGGCAGCTGTCAGCCAAACACCGAACCAATGATGGGTAAACTCAGACGTCGGGAACAACGCAGGGATCCCTAACTAGCTTCAGCGTGCGCGATCCCACTGAGAACCTCCAGCTCATCTGAGAATAAAGCGAGCCTCAGGAAACGCAGCAGATGGAGGCTATACCTCGCTCCATTTACCTGCCAGACAGTTACGAGCTTAAAGGGGGAAGGAAAGGAGTTATATATTCAAAAAACAATTTCTCCCTTGCGCAGCCAGTCACATCTGATGGTCTATTTGTGGGATGTATCTGGGAGACGTGTAGCTGGCTAAAATGACTCTGTAAATCATGTGGAGTTATGCTCGCTGGACAAAGTCTCACTGCTAAGATTTACAGGAGGCTGGGAGCATTTTGTTTGTTGTGTGTGTGTGTGATTGAGTGTGTATCCCAGTTACCTGTGTGACAGCACTGCTGAGTCGCTTGGTCAGCTCGGCAATCTGTCTCTCGGCCGCCTCCACCTTCTCCCTCTCCTTATCCAGTTGCTCTATTTGCCTGTCGTAATCTATCTGCAGGTTCTAAACACACACACACACACACACACACACACACACACACACACACACCCTCAATATTCATCACTGGAGGTCGGTTGAACAACTCAGTGAAGGAAAACACACATATCAGCTGCATTTACATTTGGCTATGGGACAAAACTCTCATTAGACACAACAGAGTGCTTCCCTCTGTAATAGAGACACAGCTGCAGGGCGTTTATGGAAGCCACTGGGAGCAAAATTACGCTATGCCAATTAGCTAAAAACTGTTAGGAAAAAAAGGAGATGATTAATCAAACCTGCAGGTTTTATTTTAAGCATATTCGCACTGTGATCAAATGGAAGAAGGTTTGTAAAGTGTGGCGTGAGTTTGCAAAACAAAGTGTTCTTTCACTGGAATTATGGTTTTTCCACATCCAAAGATTTCAAATTTACTCCACTACTTTCTACTAAACACCTCAAACTCAGTGAGACGGGTTGGAGAGTGTAATGAACATACAATAATTTTCATATCTTTTTCTCAATTATTGAATTACTCGTCAACTAATTTTGTAAAGGACTAATCGTTAACTAGAGTATGCAGACAAAAAAAAGCCATTTGCTGAAAGAACAATACACTTAACGGTACAAAAAGATGCAAAGGCAGAATCCCAAAAACCACTGGTGTTTGTGGTTGTAACATGACAAGATGTGAAAACCTTCAAATGTTATGAATAACTTTGGAAACTTTTCTTTAGTTCATTACATTATCAAGTAAAACACTATTTACTAAAGAGGGATTATCAAACAGTTTCCCCTTCCTTCCACTAGAGATACATTAATTTAAGTTTCTTTAATGTACTAATTTATCCGAATCCATGTAAACTATGACTGTAATAAAATCCAGTGCATCCTACCTTGTATCCTTCTGCTCCATGAATGATATCTTTCATTGAAGTGTTGACCTTTTCCCGCTCTGCTTTCAGTGACGCAACTTCCTCCTTCAGAGTTACAACCTGAAGAGAAGTCCAATAAATTATACTTTTAGCAATGAACAATTATTTATATAACAACTACAGAAAATGTCAGAATGATTTAATTCATCTACAGTTTAAAGTTTTGTTGTTGTTTTTTTTATCCAGAGCCACATGCAGGAGGAGCTGGGCCCTGGGCTCCAGACAGTTTGGTGCCCGACTCCCACAAAGTCCTTTTTCTCATAAAAAATTAAATCAACAGTAACAACAGATTCAGGAACTGGGGACCAAAACGAAAAATTCAACTAAAAAAAATTCTACTAACTCAACAATAATCAAGACATGATATTTTAATAATAATTAAACAAATAGAGTAGTGACATTTTTTAAATTACTGGAAAAGAATGTCAATTATTGTACATCCAAAACTGAAAACAAAAAGATTTTGCTTGTTTGCCTTATTAAAATTAAAGCACCCCGTTTGAAAAATTAACAAAAAACAACAAAAAATGTTTTCTAATGCCAAAAACATGAAAGCGGAGTCTCAGAAAGAGCAGGAGCTTCTTAAAGAGACAAAGACCCAATCAAAGCGTTAAGTTACAATTATTTTGGAGCCATTAGACTCAGATGTGATGAAAGTATTTGATTACCTCCTTCTTGCTGTTGTCCAGTTCCTTCTTGGCTTTCACTGCTACTGCCTTGATTTTGTTCATCTTCTCGTCTTTTTCTTTGATTTTATCCTCTAGGAGAGCTGAGGGAAGGAGAAGAAGAAAATGGTTTACTTATTCTTTTGAAGACTGCTGATTTAGTGAAATAAAACTGATGAGATCCATGATCACACCTAATTTCTTGGTTGTCTCATTGGCTTCACTTTCCTCAGAGGAAGCAGATTGGACATTAGATTCCTGTGAACAAAAAAATAAAGATACAAATATTAGAGGGTAAAAATAGCACCAATAAAATGTATTTCCTTTAAGCACAACTTTGGGAGATCCTAAACAAGAAACTTTTTGAGGCCATGGCCTCACAAACAGCCTCACAAACTTCTGCCTTTTAAACTGATTTTAGGAGTGTTAATGTTACTGATATTGTACTGGGTTTCTGTTGTAAATAATTGTTTAAATGTATTGTTGTCAAGACACTTTAGTGAGTTTCATCCTGGTTAAATAAAAGGCTAAAGATAAAGAAGAAGTTATTTTAACTTATATTTCCTAATAATGATTGAAAAACAGATTATGTTTGATTTAAAAAATTTTATTAGATTTATTTTTTTTAGTTTAGTTTGTTTTTTCCTCCAACTTTAAGCATCCTTTGTCGGTTCCCCAGAGGGCCGCGCCCCTCATTTTGAGAAACCCTGTTCTAAACGTGATGTGACCAGACGTCTGACCCACCTGCAGAGCCGATATTTCGTTCCTCAGCTGTGAAACCAGAGCGTCCTTCTCTCCGAGCTTCATTTCCCACTCGTCCCTCTCTTCTTGAGCCAGGGAAGCTTGGCTCAGGAGTTTCTGGTTCTCGTCGCTAAGCTTCTCATTAACCGACTTCATGTCTTGGAGATCCCTCTGCAGCCCCTCTACATCCCTCACTACGTCCTCCAGGTTTGACCTCAACATGTTTCGCTCCTTTTCCAGGTCTGTGATGTGAGCCTGGAAGTTTGTCTCCATCTCTTCCTCTCTTTTCTCGGCCTCCATCTCTTCAAGTCTTCTCTTTAAGAGGTTTCTCTCGTTTTCAAGCTCTTCAACTCGCGTCCGGAGATCTTCCAGCTCCTCTGTAGACTTTGTGAGGACTTCAGATTGATTTTCCTCCAGCAGCCTCATGGAAGCACCAGATTTCTCCACCTCCTCTGTTAGGGACTTCACCTTCTCCTCTAGTTGTTGCTTTTCAGATTCCCTCTGCGCCATGTGAGCCTCCAGGTCAGCCATCGTGGATGCCATTAGCTTCCCGTCTTCCTGAAGCTTGGACAGCTCCAACAAAGCCTGCTCCTGTTTCTGATGGAGATCATCCCTCTCCGTGGAAAGCTCTTTGACTCTCAGCTCCAAACCGGAAACCGTCTCCTCATAAATCCGCGTCTTCTCCTTCAGATTTTCTTCCATCTTTTCCTTTTCCTCCTTCAGATGCTTCACCTCGCTGTCTGTTTGCATCCTCAAGCTTTCCACCTGCTTGTTGTTGTCATCTCTGAGTAAAAGTATTTCCCTCTCTTTCTCTTCCAACAACGACTCGATTTCTTTCGTTTTGGCGTCACTCAAACTTTGCACTTCATCTTCTTTCAGCGTCAGCAGGTGCTGCGCTTTGTCCCGCTCTTCAGTCAAAATGGCGGCCATTTCTTTCAGATCTTGAATCATGTTCTCCTTCATCTTCAGCTGTGAGAAGATCTCCTCGTTCTGCATAGTCAGCTCCTTCACAGCCTGTTTTAAAGAGGTTTCTTCTTCTTCTGCGGAAGCGGAAGGTTTCTGGCTTTCAGCTGCATAATTTTGCTGAAGGTCTTGGATATTCTTCATCAGAGAGTTTTTCTCCTCTGTGATTTCAGTCATCCTCACCCGCAGCTCGTCTCTCTGTTGGCTGAGCTGTTCGATCTTTTCCTGAAGGTCTCGCACCGTTTCTGCGCCCTTTTCCTTCATGGTGTTGTACTGCTGGACAAAATCTTTGGTCTTCTCCCCCAGCTCTGTCTCCACACTTTGAAGTATGTCTCTCATCTGCTGGCACTCGGCCATGGCGTCGTTGCGTTCTCTGGTTAAGGCCTCACATCGGGCTGTCAGCTCCTCGTTCAGATTCAGGTCGCTGCTCGGCATCTCGGCAGGAGTTTCAACTTCTTGCTGCTCAGGCTGAAGCTTCAGCTCGTGTTCAGTGGTCGGACTGTCTTTATTCATCTGCAGCTCGTTTATTTTGAACTCGAGCTCTTCTTTTTCCACCTGGAAATCCTCCTTGACCCGCTCTAGCTCTGCTTCAAGCTCCGCCTTCACGTTGCTGAGCAGCGTGAGCTCGTCCTGCAGCATGGTGTTCTGGGACTGAACGTCGTCCAGCGCCGTCCTCAGTCTGCCGAGCTCGCCCTCCTCGCCGCCGCTCTGCGGTTCAGCTTGCTTGCACCCGGACAGCTCCAGCATTTTGGCGATCCCGGCGCCACGGCTGGGGTCTTCGTCTTCCTCCTGAACGTCCTGCAGGTAGCTGTCTGCAAAAAACAGAACAATGTCGCCTCAAGATGCTGCTAAAGTTATAAGTAAGTCGTTATAACACAGTGAATCGTACCTAGACCGGTCACAGTAACAGTTTGCTGGATGATAAATTGTCACAGAAATTATATTATGGTTATTTTGACACCATTTTCAACTAATGACAATTGCATCATAATGCAAATTTGACCTCTGATAGATGAATAGACACTAATTTTATACAAAACGCTCCAAACTGGAACAGAAAGACATTTTAGAACACAACAACCAAAAACAATAATAAATAAAACAGAATAAAATAATAAAAAAATAAATCTACAATAATAAATAAAATGGATCATGATGTCTATTTAAACAAAACTGCCCTTTAAAAAAATATCATAAGAACATTGTGCGGTTAATTAATTAATTGCTTATTGTGACAGGATTGATCGAAACACAAACTTCAACGTATTTTTGGGAAGATTTTAAATACAAAATTATGCAAAATTATAGTGGAAAAATTACAGCTATATGAGGATTTATGTTTTTTTATGACCTGTTGAGTGTTTTTGTGGTAGAATTTGTCAGCGTGTTGCTTGTTCGATTTTCACCAGAGTGTTTTATATATTTTAGTTCAGTTCAGTTTCATGAACATGTTTGCTGACACCAGCTTCTGTCAATAACGTTTTTCTTGCCTGGCCTGTTAATTCAGTTGGCCACGTTTTGTATGTTTGCAGTTCTGACATCGTTTTTAAACCTACAACTAATTTACATTTCTCCATTACCTGTTTACTCTGTTCATTGGTCTGCAAGATCTTTTATATAATCACCAATATTCTCTAATAAATGTCTTAGATCTTGATAAAATAGGTGTATTTATAATGACATTACATTTCATACAACTTGATTCTTTTTTTGACCAATTAAAAGTATTTGTTCCATTAAATTTTACTAAAAGTATCAGAGTAAGGGGGTGAATACACCTTTTAGACATTTAGCTGTAAAATATGTATGTGTTCGTACTGTTCTTTGTTTGCTTTTGTTTTAAATTGATTTTGTTTTCATATAACTTTATTCTTTTACTACATTCAATAAGGTCAAACTGCTACTACTAAATATTGAAAAAATGATGTATAAATGATCTTTCATGTCACAATTATGCATCACTTTGTGTTGATCTGTCAAATTACTGTAAAAACAAAATCTTACCAAGTATTTTTGTCTAGTTCTACTCCAAAAACCTTATTACTCTTTAAGTCAAATTGATTTACAAGCAACTTTTCAGCAAAATATAGGAGCTTATTTTAAGTAAATAATTATTTAATACTGTTGACAAAGTTTTAGTTCTAAGTGAAATAATCTGCCAGTAGAACAAGACATTTTACAATATTTTAAGTTAAAATGTCTTGTTCCACTGGAAGATCATTTTACTTGTTACTAACACTTTTTTAATTGATATTAAGGAATTATTTACTTAAAACAAACTTCTATATCGAGCTGGAAAGTTACTTATAACTGAGTTTTGTCTTCTTTCAAGTGTACTAAAATATTTGCCCTAGAAACTGGACCAAAAATATTCGGTAACTTTTTTTTGTAGAGATGAAATCCACACAAAATACATTGAAATCTTTAACTGTAACGTAAAATAATATTTAATTCATTGCTTAACTGACATGTAAATTCAGTTTTCAAGGCTGTTCTTATGCACATTTCTCCTCAGATAAATCAAACCAAACCCAGAGAACAGTAACATCCTTCCTCCTGTTGTACCTTTTGAAGCCAGCTGCTCAGTCAGCTCCTCGGTGAGCAACATGAGGCGATCCCTCTCGATCACCCAGTCCTCCTCCAGAGCTTTCATCTCGTCCTCATGCTGGACGGTTTTCTGAACCAGCTCCTCCTTCAGGTTCTCCACCTCCTGCTGGGCCTTCGTCAGCTCCTTCTGGTACTTCTCCTCCAGCTGCGCTGCCTCCTCCGAACTTCTGTCTTGGATTGCCTTCATTTCAGCTCGAAGGGTTTCCAGTTGAGCTTCCAGGGAGCGTCTGACTTCTTCTACGCTCTCTTGAGCACTGGTGTATTCTGCTCTGCGCTCCTTCTCTCTTTCTCTGTCTCGTTCCTCTTGTTCCTGGAGTAATTTCTGGAAATGATTCACTTTTTCCAGGTGTTGGTTTCTGGATTCCTCAATGCTGGACTCTAATGTTTCAATCTTCCGTTGGTGGACCTCAATAACTCGCTCATGTTCACTTTGCAGCAATGCTAGATCCTCCTGAAAAGAAAAAAAAATCAATCTGACTTCTTTACAGACATAACATTGCACAAAATTGTTATGTTTGTGGTATTTTACCTTGGCTTGCTGTTTGGTTCTCTCTAGCTCTTTGCGTGAGAGTGCAAGATTTTGCTGAGTTTCAGCTTTCTCCAGTAGCAGAACATCCATCCTTTCAGTCAGCTCCTGAAACAGCAAACATAATAAAATTACAAAATGTAAACATATTTACTTTTACAACAGATCTGGAGATATACAAACCTGTATCAACAAGGCATCCTCTGGACTTTTGTCAGTACTTTTGGATTGTTGTTTAAGGGACTCAACTTCTTTTTCCAAATCTGGGAAAACAAATAAAGTAATGTCACAAATTCAGAGCCAGAGAAGACTCACCAGTCGTGACTTTATTATCTACCTGTGCATTTGGTCTTCATCTTTTGCATGGCGGCAATCTGTTTTTTGGCATATTTGATGAGGTCATCTTTCGACAACGTATCCAGCTGTGCAGACAGCGGGAAGAAAAGAAAGAGAAAAACTAATCTTATGAAACAATCAAACTTTAGGGCTGTTTTAACATCATCTTTCCACATGTAGGTTTTATGCACCAACATATTAGCTTCTAAGGAAACCTCCCAACACTGTCGCTGCATATCATCAGCCATAGATCAATTTGCACTTTTAAAACAAATGTGTAATTCAGCTTCTGATCCTCATTAGTTTTGGCAAAAACTCTTTTTAGGGTTAAACTGGAAATCAGAAAAAGCACAAACTCTAAGTAGCTGCTTCAAACTAACACTCTACAGGGATGGGCTGCCCAAATCATCAACAAAATTAAATTATTAACACGGTGATCCACAATACAAGCACACTCCCTTTCATTTGGCCTAACAGTAAGATTTTCCAATTTTTCTTCTAGATTATCACGGCATTCTCTAAAAATTTAAACAAAAATGTATGACATGATATTATTGTCAAATCAATAATTTCAGAAACATTACTGCAGGAGTAATAATACAGCTCATGACAGGCATTTGTTATTTATATTTTAATAAAAAAATATCAATTAAAAACCTTCATTTTGCAGTTTGCAAGTTGTTTTTGCTCAGATTATTAATATTCAAAATGTGCTGATTGCTGGAATCTGAAATATTTCCCAACAGCTAAATTGTAAATGAAAATAAAGCCAAAAAAAAAAGTAATTCTGTCATCACATTTCCTCTAATGGTTTTATAAACAATCATGTCTTTAGATAAGACCAATGATTTTCACACTAAAGTATCAGAAAGAAAGGTCCGGATTAATTAAAGACACAAAGTTGTGAGGTACCTTTGACTTGGGAGCACCAGGTTGGGATGGAGTCCCAGCCTCAGCTGCAGAACCACCGGGATCCTTTTTAGAGAAAAGTAAAAGAAGTACCATTATTAGATTAAAAACCGTTGGGTTCATCAGGAGAAAAAAAAACACGTTTATGTCAACCAAAGCCTGACAATAATGTTTACTTTTTGCATAAAACTTGTAAATATTTTTTCTTCCAAGTTAGCTTTTTATTTCAGAAAACTGTATCAACGAAAACGGCTCTGAGTTCTGGTGTCTGTAACTTCAAGATGCTCCACATCAACTTGTCAGGTTAGCTAAAGCTAACTGCTCGATACTGAATATTTACCTCCATTTCTGGCGGCTCTTTAGCTTCTCCTCTCTCCTGTGTCACAAAGGCGGATAGCAGGTGTCTGACAAGGGGAACTTCAATCAATATCTAAGATTACGATCGACTACGCAGCGACTTAGCACGGAAACATTTCATCTGTTTTGGTTCCAAGGTAGCAGGCTAAAGCTAAGACCCGCTTCCGCAATCGTCAACCGGCTGACGTCGGAATAATTTACGTCACGTGTTCAAACGGGGGCGATCAACAAAAACATTAAATATATGGAAAATCTCGCCCTAAGATGTTTTAATAATGTATTTATTGCATAAAATAAGTATTGGACACATAAGAAAAATGTAAATATTTAGAATAGGAACCTTTGGTACAATAATTACAGGCAAAGAAGATTTTATCTCACACAGTTGAGGTGTACCGACAATGACCATCTCCTTTTATTGTAAGTGGAAAAACTTTAAAAATTGACTGTGTATTTAATACTTATTTAACCCATTGCATAGTATATATTTTTGTCGATGGACTGGCCCAATTACTCCACCAGTGCTTCATGATTCTGCAAGGATAAGCGTGTAAAGACAATGGGCTGTATGGATATATTGTATTTACATTCATTATAAAGCTGTAATAAAGCTACAGCAAAAAAAAAAAAAAAAAAAAAAAAAAAAAAAATCAACTTGGGATTCTGTAGAATGACTTTAAACATGCCAGTTATACTCACAAACCCTCCAACGTGACTGAATTAAAATAATTCTGCAAAGAAGAGTGGACCAACAATCCTCTACATAAAGCAATGTAAAACAGGAATTATCATTAATTTCTCATTTTGACAACAATTTTGTTACAAAGGGTGGCACAATCAGTGGTTTGGCGTTAGGATCAATCACTTTTTCACATAAGGCCAAACTGTTTGGGAAAGTTTCCTTCCCTTTAATAGATAAATTTTACTTTTCTGCTCCAAAATATGTTAAATCTACAATCATTCTTTTAATGGCTCTGTATGAAAGTTAAGGGCTGCATTGTGAAAAAATGAAAGTGTGAGGGATTTTGCAGGGCACTGTAATTTATTTCATTTGTGCCACTAAATTGAACATTTTGCTCTCGTTACAGTCTGAGCATCATGGGAAATCCAATTAGTTGTCACAGTCACAGACACAGAAGATAACAGGAGGAAAAAGGAGGTGAAATATGAGAAATGAGACATTGAGAAAAAGCCCCAAAATACTTTTCTGGATTGTATTTTAGCCAAACTGATATCATATTTAAGAAAATGTGCCCAGGTCTGTGTCCTGCAGGCATTGTTTTTGGGATGCTTGAGAGAGGGGAGGATATTTGCCCTCTCCCTGACATCAGGGCCGTCATAAACCCAGTGAAGCTTCTGTATTCTCATCCCATCGAGTTTCATCTGTTGAATATGGAGAGCGTCTGTTTTGACACAAGTGACGGAGGCACCAACGGGGCAACTCAGCTTGATGCCTCTTATGCTGACAAGGCTGGCATGCTGTAAGCAGAGGGCCAAAGGCTCAGCTGACTCCCTGTCTCATCTGGAAGAAACCCGCCTGGGTCAAACACACCCATCCATCAACAGCCCCTCCCTTGTTTTCTCGCAGGGCATCCAGCAGTATTTTGCTGCCATTTTTCTCCCCCCACTCATGGCCGTCAGTCAGGGACGGCTTTGTGGTAATATAACTGACACTGGATGGCGTTCGGGGAGTAATGAATGGCTTGGCTGGGTCCATCAGGAGGAGCAGCAGACACACTTTCATTCTCCTGCCTTTCTTTATTTCTATCTTTCTTGCTTCTTTAGTCTGTTTAGCTTCAACAACAACCACATTTCAAACCAACACAAAGAGCAAGGTGCATTCATCTTTCGCTCCTACTGCCTCTGACCTCATCTCTCTTGATTTAGTCCCTGAGGCACAAAAACTTGAGACTTTTCAAAACTATATTTTGTTTTGAGAAGAAAAATATGCATTTAGACTAGAGATGTGCCGATCAGGTTTTTTCCTCCCGATACTGATACCGATCACCCATAAGGGCCGATCACCGATACCGATCACCGATACCGATCACC